GGGGGGGCTATGGGGCTGTGGATGGGGTTACTTGGGATTCTGGACCAAAAAAAAAAAAATTGTGGGGTGCCTACCGGTCCGTGCCGACGGCGCCTACCGTCGGCTGGTCGGCATCCGACGGGTCCAGGGCTGCCGACCGTCGGCGTGACTACCCTGCTATAGAGTTATTAGATTACAACAACATCCATCTGGGTACACGTGGGCCAGTTAGTTACACGCATAGAGGACATACATAATTGTCGGAGGCGTGAAAGTGTACATCAAGCATACCACCAGAAGATGGGAGACGACCATGCAACGATGTGAGCATTGCACATTTGTTGCATAAGGCCTTTTTTACTCCACTGACTGTGGTTTCTATGTGAAATGTGGATGGGCGCTTGTTCTGTGTGACATCGATTATCGACATTCGTTTATTGGCCGCAAGGGATTGCGATCCCTTTGGTCGTGGCCGTTCGATTGTGATCCCTTCACTTTTGCAGTGCTTGTGATCGCATTCCGCAATGCGCTTCCGATTGTGATCGTATCCGGTAATGTGATTGCAATTGTGACCGCATTCGGTAATAATGCAATTATGATTGCATCCGGTAATGTGATTGTGATTCGGATCGCTGTCGATAAGGCAATTGCCGATTCTGATCGCATTCGGTAGTGCCGTTGCGATTGTGATCGCATTTGATAATGCGATTGCGATTGTGATCGCATTCGGTAGGGAGGTGAGTGGGCTTGTGATTGCATTGAGGTAATGCAATTGCGACTGTGATCGCATTCTGTAATGCCGTTGCGATTGTGATCGCATTTGGTAATGCGATTGCGATCACAATGCGATTGCGATTGTGATCGCATTCGGTAAGGAGGTGAGCGGGCTTGTGATTGCATTGAGGTAATGCGATTGCGACTGTGATCGCATTCTGTAATGTGGTTGCGATTGTGATCGCATTTGGTAATGTGATTGCGACTGTGAACGCATTCTCTCTCGGTAATGCGATTGCGATCGCATTCAGTACGGCCATTGCGATCGCATTCGATAAGGCGATTGCGATTGCGATTGTGATTTTTTGCGATCGCATTCGATAAGGCGATTGCGATTGTGATTGGTTGACAGCACAGCCATGTGATGGATGGAATTGTTGGAATAGTGTGACTTCTTTTCAAGATGTGGGCCCAAGCCTTGTACATGGGACAAATGGAACCGATGGTACTGATGGAAGAGCCCAATCTGGTTCCGTTGGAAGCGGTAGCAATCGGATGAACTTGATCCTGGTGGCCGGGCTTGTGGGGAAGCCACATCTTTTTTCCTTTTTTTCTTTTTTTTTCTTTTTTTTTTTTTCTTCATTTTTTTTTGCTTTTTTGGGAGAAGTCACATCTCACTTTATCCTTACAGTCTTGTCGGTAATGGATCACAGGTTATGCTGTTGGCTTTCTCGATGAGGTTTAGGGTTTTATCTTTGTGACCTTTCAGAGCTAACCTGAGTCTGATCTCATTTGCGTATTATCTATCCTATAGTCACCTTATCCCTTATCCGAGTCTAATCTCATTTGCCTATTATCTATCCTATAGGCACCTTATCCCTTATCCGAGTCTAGTCTCATTTGCCTAATCTTCTTCGGATAAGGGACGAATCCTATTATCTATACTATAGTCACCATTTTGGCCAGACCAAAAGTTTCCATGCGTGCGTGTTTTTTTCCTTGCGATACGATGTACTATCTCATCGTAATCCGCTGGGATGCATCATCGTCAATAAAGCCTAACTAATCTGATGTCAAAGCAGTGACGGTCTTGGAAGATGGGGCTGCACTGACAATGTAGCACATTGACGGCGAATCAAATCGCAATCGCTGATGGATGTTTAGTTTGCATCCAAAAGCTTTGTGTGCACGGACACACCATGGGCCTCGCTCCACTACTCTGCCCATCATGCACTAAAGACAAAAAATATGGCGGTGTATCTTTCCGTGCTCTAGTGGAGGATTCGTTTTCATTTTGCACATTTCGAGAGCATGGGAGCGCGAGGCCCCATGCCTCGGTCTCCTCCTCAGCATTTTGTCCTGGACAGATCTATCCGACTCTTGAAGTGCTCCGTTTTCCATCCGGCTTCAGTGCAGTTTCCGTGAAGGTTCTGCTGAAGCTTCAGTGAAGATGCCGTGAAGCTTCCTCTCTCAACGGAACTGTGAAATGGAACGGGAGGAAGGCACCCATCTCATACAGTGGTGGCTAGATTTGACCGCATCGTGTTGGTGGCCACGAGGTTGGTTCTCAAACGTCCGTTGAATTCCGCTGCGCACCCGGTCGGCGGCGACGTACACATACACGTTTGCGCACGGGAGATGTGACCAGATCGTCGTTATCATCGTTCACGTCCTCTCACTTCCCTGAGCTGCGATTGAATACTGGGCTGCTGCGAAATCGCACCCATCAGTCAGTATTTTGAAATCGAAATCTCACATTCCAAGAAGTGTGCTCGATGCTCGTATGCTCACCACCACCAGTGAGTTCCGTTACCCAGCCGATCACATCAAGCCCGCCTCGAGAAAATCCCCGATGCTATTTCTCTGGGTTTGACAAGAAGGATGGATAATCTTTGCTGCTGCCTATGCGGGGCAACAACGCCAGCAATCTATCTTTGACAAAGTTCGCACCAATAACGAGTGTTAAGATAATCTGCTGGAGTGGTAGAGTACCCTGTGTAGTCGGCATGCCAAATTTGTTTGGTGTCCCTAGCAGCAGATTTCCAAAACACTGGTAATTAGTAATTACTCGATTGCGCAATTTTTTTTATAATCACACCACCGACGAACTGTAAGGTTCTGTTTGAAAAAAAAAAAAAAAAAAAAAGAAAGAGAAGCAGAAAGAAAGAATCACACCACCGATGTTCTTGAGCTGTGGCCATTTGATGTTGATAACAACAGAAAGAGCAACAGAAGTATTCTTTACTATTGTTGTTGTTGTTGTTGTTGTTGTCATTGATGCAGACATGATAAGGGTTGTTTTACGGACCCATTCATGACCCCTCTAAAAGGGTAGTGGACCCTTGTAGACCCTTAATAGACCCACTCATAGCGGAACGGGGCTGAGGCTAACGGAAGGTTGTGTTTACGGCAGATAGCCAGGTTGGTGCCTTAACTCATCCTGAACTCGTCATGCTTAACTCACGCTCAACTCGTGCTTAACTCATCGTCAACACATGCGTAAACCACTGCAGTACTTCCTAAAGTCGTGCCCGTTAACAAGCCACGATTTTAGGAAATGTACTGGTCGCTACAGCAGGAGCGCCCAAATTCATCCGACTACGAACGTTTCTACTCTATTTTTTCCACGGCCGATAGCTGGGCCAAGTACTGGTGGTTCAAAACCCATTTTTTAATTGACTAACGCTCAGCTCAGCTCATTCTTAACTCGTTCTTTGCTAACTAACGTGTGTAACACGTGCTTAAGTCATCTTCAACTCATTCTTACCTCGTCCATATGTTTAAGTCATGCTGAACGCATCCTTAAAAGTTGGTTTATTTTATACATTTCATCTTTGAAAGTTCTCTCGCAACACTTGGACACGAAGAAGATAATCTTCGTGAGCTGTGAGAATCCGTCTCTCTACACGCCTGTAAAAGACCTCTAGCTCTCTACCTCTACCTCTCTACCTCCTCTCCCTCCACCTCTCTACCTCTCTACCTCCTCTCCCTCCACCTCTCTACCTCTCTACCTCCTCTCCCTCCACCTCTCTACCTCTACCTCTCTACCTCTCTACCTCTACTGCATGGTGTTGGTCATCCGAAGCATTGTTGCTGGACGTACCTACGTATTTGTGGTCGTGCTTTTCGTATTTTGCGATAAGGGTGGCAGCGGCGTAGCGCCCTCGCATTAGCGTGTGAAACTGGATTCAAACTCTTGATCTTGTGTTTGGGAACAGTTACATCATGTGTGTAGCCTTCAGCCACATGGGCTGGGGAGTCGTCGTGCTTTTGTCGATAGACTCTTTATTATTTGTTCTGCATCCTTTTTTGTTTGATATTTCCAATTGAAGAAAGTTTTTGATGGGTTCGGGGGTTTGGGGGTAACGAAACTTAAATGCACGGAAGTCGGACGGAAAACGGAGCGCTTCAGCGGAACCTTCAGCGCAACACTTCAACGAGAAGCGCTGAGGTCTGCAAGAGAATCGCTGCTACAGCTGCGCTCATGTGAATTTGGTCACAGTTCTTGCTACCCGATTCATCTTCTGCCGTCTGGGCTGCTCAGCATTTTTAATTTGACGAGTCTCGGCTTTTCCCCGATTCATTCTTGAATGAGGAGGTCTTGGACGGTGTAGGCACCCCGTCATCATTTTTCCGCTGGTTGTGACTTTTTTTGTTTTAAGTTCTTTTTTGTACATAAAGGTTGCATGCCCACGTGTGCTCAGTGACGGCTATATTACAGTTGGATTAATTTCTGTACAGAATCCGCAGAAGAAGGTAAGATTGTCATTTTTCAAGGGCTTTTTTTTTTTTTTTTTTTTTTTTTTNCTTCATGATTCTTGGTGGAATGGGGGTAGCGCTGTCCATTGCTTTTTTTTTTTTTTTTTTTTTTTTTTTTTTTTTTTTTTTTTTTTTTTTTTTTTTAACCCTGCAGGGTTCGAACTCATAACCTGACTTCAATCAAATTCGAAATTTTCATAGTGTCAAGCCAGAGCGACTGATTCTGTCCATTGCTTTTTTTTTTTTTTTTTTTTTTTTTTTTTCCCTGCGTATCACTCTGTGCGAGGGTTTATGCCTTGGCATAGGGCCCTCAGCGGCGGCAGGCGCGTGCCCGCCCTAAGTGAAGGCGGGCGCGCTGAAACTCAATGCGCCCTGAACTCGTCAATTTTTGCAAATCTTCGTCGGCACCAGACAGTTGCCACGTGTCAGTTGGTTACAATCGACCTTGCTCGTAACAATCCAAAATATTTGTGAGCCTTCCAAAATATTTGTGAGCCTTCCACGCTCTTCCAGCAACGTGGGCGAAGCTGCTACCTAACCAACGTGGAGCATTGCACCTTTGTGCCTGGGTGGTTGGGCATGCCCCCTAACCAATTCGGTCCCAGGCGACAGTCTGAATCGGTCCTGGGCGCAGACGCTTGGCCGAGACTGAAGCTGCTACTGGAAACTCGGTCTCGCGTGGGGGTAGCAAAGGCAAGCGCCCACCTCTTTCCATAGTATAGGAAAGGGCAGGGCGCAGGGCTGGGTAGTCGGGCACTTGCAAGCACATGCTGCAGCGCTGCTGGAGCTACTAGCGCTCGCGGGGCTGCTGCTGCGTTCGAGTGTGGGCAAGTGTGCGGTCGTGCGAGAAGGCAGGGTGCTGCTGAGGGCAGCGCCATAGCCAGCCCCACTTAGCCGGGGCTCGGCTTGGACATGGCCAGTGGAGGTGGTGGCAGTCTTCGTGTACTAGCTAAGGGAAAAAAAGACGTCGGTGATGAAGTCGAGGTTGAGAGAGAGAGAGAGATGAGGTTGATGATGTGAGCGAGGGCATGTACCTGGTCCTCAGGATGGTCTACAAGGGTTGACAACATCTTCATGTACTTCGGCGGTTCTGCTGCTGACGTCAACAGGATGCATTGTCCATTCGTAGGCTGCTAGTCGCTGTGTAGACGTAGTCTGGGTGCTGGGCGCCAAGTAGTAGGAAGGGCTCCTCTGGATACATATTACATATGTTGGTGGTCGCGAGAGTATGCTCTCATATTGACATTCGGATTCGGTGATTTTGGTTCTCCGTCACGGTTGGCGGAACAATGCATTCGGATTGCTCTCGTTGACATTCGGATTTCGTGATTTTGGTTCTCCGTGACATTCGGATTCGGTGATTTTGGTTCTCCATCACGGTTGGTGGTCGCGAGAATATGCATTACTGCTTTGTGGACAGCGTCTGGACTTTTGCCGGCTTTCGAATTTCAATGTGATTTTGCACTCTGGATTTCTGTTCTGTCATTTCGCTATATCGCATTTGCCTCTCGCTATTTTGCATCTGTTTCCAAACATTCATATTTCCTAAAAAAAAATAAAGGGAGAAAAAAAAAAAAAAAAGTGAACTACTTCC